AACTTATTTTGAAATAATGTTACAATAATGATAAATATTTTTACATATTGTGGAATTAAATAATGCAATTATTCATATGATATTTAAGTGAGTACATTATGTTGAAACTAAGGGTATATAAAAAATTATAAATTAATTTATCTACATTAAGCAATGATGAGATATCACATTAAATGTGATTAAAATTTTTAAATTTTAAAAATAATATACTGCTAAGAAAAAAATTTATATTATGATAATGCGTATCATAATATAAATTTTTTTCAAGAGCATGCGGCTCTTGCTTACTTTATAGATCCAAAAGGAAGAGATGACGATCTTACTTACTAGTTCTCGAATTATTGAAGCCATTCATCGAATTAATGATGTTGATAATAAAATACATCTAAATGTCTGGAACTATATAGCCAGTTATAAAACTAGGGAAGGTATTTTAGTTGAAAATTTACATAACATAAATGATATCTAAATTTTCAGTTAAGTGGTTCAAATGAATCACTAAATTGAAGGAAACATCTTATTCATTCTATTAATTTGGCCTAAGTAGCAACAAACATTTCACTAGCCCCTGTAATTTCAGTAGCCACTGAACAAAGTTTCAGATTGTATTCTTGGATAAATTAAAAAAAAATGAATTGTTAACTAATAATCGACTGAGAAAATTGTTCAGTTAATAACAGTCATAAACAGAAAAACTAACCACAAAGAAAACAAGTAAAAAATTTAAATAAATGTGAAAAATTTGTAAAGAAAACCGCGAAAGTGATAGTGATGGAAGCAATTCAAAAAGGAAATTCTGATTTTATCTATTTCCTTCGTAGAAATTAACTATGAAGATTATAATAATTCTCATGGTTACTTACTATAAATAATATACAAAGTGTTAAGTAAGTAAGGAAACAGGTCAATCGTTACAAATAATGAGAACAATAGAAACCCGTTCCTAACTAACTGAACACCCTATATATTTATTGGTGTTACGACTATTATTTTGTTATTTATATAGCTTATAAAAGTATTGTTTGCTAATACTTGTCAAAAATAATAAGGCGATTATAAATTAAAAGGTAATTAGCCAAGTAGCATTTTAAATGTAATTTGGTAAAATTTTTAAGAATTTATATGATAAAATATATTTGTATACCCCTTTACTAATAATATTTGCTATGCATATTATTAAAAAATCAATTTTGATCAATAAAATAAAATTACCTATGAAATATGACCAGATACATACATATATATGCTAATAATATTAAGGAAATACGAATGTAAATGTAATTTGTAAGTCTAGACGGTTTATAAAGTGATACTCAGTATAATAGAATTACTTATACTATAATAAAATAACACTAACAATAAACGTTCAATTTCATGTAAATACTTTATTATACATATTTAATTCATATAAAATATTATTATCATATAGTTCTAAACATTTACAAAACATTATTACTAGAGTACCATTTTGTACAACACTTAATTTAATTTGAACCAGGTTTGAGATTTTTGTAACAAAAATTAAACTTAATAAGTTATTAACAAAGTTCAAATGTAGAATAAAAAAAAATCCTCATTAAATCGAACATATTGAGTATTTAAAAATAATTATATAATCGTCAGTTGATAATCAACTGGACAAGATCGTATAAGATAAAAAAATACATAGGTATGTTTGCAAAATACGCGAAAAAAGATAGAGTCGCTTAAAATAGATAGATAGATAAAAATGAAGATCATAAATGGCGAGAATGAGGATTTACAAAATTGCTAAGAGACGCATATTTGTTAGGAAAGTGATAAAGAGTCTAAATTTAACCAAAAATATACAAGTAATATACTTAATTTGAATTTAAGTGGACAATTTCAATTATTTTATTCGTATTAATTTATTTAATATGACCTTAACACATATAATTTTGCCAATAATTAAATTCTAGAAAAATTAAAAAAACTTTATATTGAATATTAGAAAAAATAAGTTTTAAACAATAATTTCATTAAACCATGATAAAGACAAAAAGTAAATGGTAAAAATAAAAAATGTTTTTAAAGATTCATGGATTTTAGGAACATGAACCGTGAATGTCTCCGATCACAATAGAATCTTAAAAAACATATTATATTATTTCAGTATTTTCTTTTAAATGGACCCAAACCCGTGTAAACGGAGATGTTTCCCATTGTTTAAAAGTATATCGAATAAGGTAAAAAAACAAATCATGTCACCAGTAAACATGATAAAAACGTCTTCATTATGATAATAAAATCACTTAATCCGACGATAAATAATAATCATCTGTGACTGTTAAGCTTCTAAGTCGCGACACATAAAGATACCAATACTTTGTTTTTTATATATTTTAATTTATAGAACGTTACGTATTAAGTACGTAAGTAACGTTCTATATTTTTGTGACCTTTTTATTTTTTTGTCAACTTCTTTTACTAAATTAGTTTGTAAACAGTAAGCAGTGTAAGCGATTAGGGTCATGGCTCATAATAGATCTAAAACGAATAAACCCTCTATTACAGGGGTGAATGAGAAAAAAAACCAATGATAAAATCAAATGGTCAAACAGTGTGTGTTTGTTACTTAATAGGTTAAACGCACATGAGATTAGATACACGTGTAATTGAACTAAAACTTTACCCCAGAGGGTTTCTTTCAAACTGTTTGCTTCCGGTGGTCAAAGAACAAGGACATTAACGTTACGACGAATTACAGCATTTTCTGGGTTATTATTGATTGTCATTCGTCTATACTGTTAAAAGTTATTTGGGGTAAGGATTAACTAATGTTTTTAATAAAAAAAAAAACAGCACAGGGGGGTCGCGGCACAGTGGTGACGTGGCATAGTTGGATCAAGTATAATGATATCTGACAGTGATTAAAATCACTATCAAAAAAAAACGCTTCGATGCAAATCTTTAGATAGTGTTTAATTTTAAAAAATTGGTGGATTATTCCAAAAGCTTCATAAACTGCTAGTTCCTTATTAATATCCTGATTAAGACAAAGTATGTAGAATAAAAAAGAGATTATTAGAAAATAGTATTTCCCATAAAAAAATTATATTGATCAATACACTTTTCAATAAGTTATAGCATTATAATGTTAAAAATGTAAAAAATAAAATTGAGAATTTTCACACAATAATAGCATTTGGTAGCCATTTTCACCTTGAAGATAAAATAAAGTCCGAAATTTTTTTTTTCCATGATAAAGTATATTACATTAGCTTTAATTTAAGATATATATAAAAGTGTCAGACTTTCCGGAACACTTTCAAAATTTAAGTTGAAAAAGTCAATTTTTTGTGAAAAAGTTGTCATTTTGAATCCCCCCCTGTAGGCAGGTAAAAAGTCAGATTTATAAAAAAAATATACCAAATGATAGGTAAAGACATCATGCATCTACAAAAAAAAGAATTATATTGATCCATACATCTTTCGAGAAGTTATAGCATTATAAAGTTAAAAATATAAAAAAGAATTTTTTTACAAAAATCGTATTTTTTTTATTAAGTTTAATGTCTGTTTTCACCATGAAGATAAAATAAAGTCCGAAATTTTTTTTTTTCATGATAAAGCATATTACATTAGCTTTAATTTAAGATATATATAAAAGTGTCAGACCTTCCGGAACATTTTCAAAATTTAAGTTAAAAAAATTAATTTTTTGTGAAAAAGTTGTCATTTTAAATCCCCCCTTGTGGGCAGGTTAAGGGTTAAATTTATGAAAAAAATATACCAAATGAAAGGTAATGATATTATGCATCTATATAAAAAAGAATTATATTGATATGTTCATTTTTGAAAAAGTTATGGCACTTTTAAGTAAAAAAAATTGAAAAAATTTCGAAAATTAGCGATTTTTAAATTTGTAATTTTTTTGGAGGTTTCCCCCTTTTACGGGGAACGAGGGAATTTTTTTCAATTTTTAAGGGTAATGTCTTCGACTAGATACGATTTGTGATCTTTTGACGTATCATTGAAAGAAATCGGTTCGGTGAGACCTGAGAAAAAGTGGTAACAGACACAAAAAAAAAAAAAAAACACATCTTAGTAAAACCAATACCTTCTCAGCTTTGCATCGAAGCTAAAATAAACGATTAAATACCGAATAAAATCATAATAAAAAAAAAAAACGATTCAAAAGGACTATAAAGAAATAATTTATAATTATTACTTTAAGCTACTATCTGATAGTTAATAAAATAAAAAGTCGTCCAGGACAACTTTTCAGGATTTTAATTTAATTTGAAATAAAATAAATTTTTAATTAATTAAAATATTCTATAACATAGGCTTTCAATGGTTATTTGTAAAATTAATATGTTCTGAGTGAGAAAAAAAATAAAAAAAATATTTAGTCACATTTTGAATAACTGCATTTTCTTTTATCTGATCGACCAAAAAGACCATTAAGTTTTAATAATTAATTTTTCCACACATATATGTTAGAACTAAAGAAAATATTTATTTGTTCCAGATCGTTGTTATAACTCAAATTGATTTTGTATGCTAAAAAAACGATATTTTTTATATCTATCACTCAATAATAACCAGTAGAAATTCAAAATTTTTCTTTTGTTTATATATCTTTTAGACTAAGATCATGAAACGCATTTTTCTTTCTTTAAAGGAAAATAAACTAATCACAATTCGATTGCAAGATAATCAAGCATGTAACATTTTAATAATACTAAAATATCAACAGTTTGAAAAAAAATGTGCATAAATTGAAAATATGTAATATTTTTGCTTTAATTTTTTGTAATATTTTAGACATCTTGGCTACTCATTTTTTGTTACATATTAGCTGGTGATCGACTAATAGTATGTTCTACTACATACATCTATCACACTTCACTTATTATTTGTATTTGTATTTTTATTTTATATTAATTATCATTTGATTAATTAATTATTATTTAGGATATAAATACATTATTTATCAAGTAAATTTTTATAAGTACACTTAATTAAACACTCACCGCAGCTTTATTTGAGTTTTTTAATGATTGACTGAGCAATGATTTTTCAGCAATCAACTTCGCAATATTACGTCTTGTATGACTGTTCATAGCGACCTAGCTGAGTACTTTTAATAGTCTAGAACTATGGATTGATAATTGAGTAATTCCTATAACATTGTTTAAAGAAATTCATTAAAAATCAATAGTTATTACTTACTGAATTATAAGCTTGTTTTACATAACACAAATTTAAAAAATTCATGTATATGGTATATGTATATGTATACAGTGGCATATATTAAGTATGCTACCCCAATAATTTCGTGAAAATGTATAGATTCAAATTTAATATTTATATAAACCATTGCAAGTATAAAGTTTATTAAACAAAAAAATTATTCCTAATGGGAAGATTTAAAGGTAACTTCCAAAAGTTAAATGGAAAACTTTTTTTTTTACTAACTAGCTAACTAGAGAATAGCCTAACAAAATGTTGACTGATTTATAACCAGAATTTTATTATTTCTTTTTGTGCTGTTATAATTTTTAGTCATAGTCGAGTAAGTTGCACATCGTAGAAAACTCTTATCTGTGTGATATGGTAAAAATAGAGCGTTGCTAATCACTACTCCAACTATTCCCTTACAATACTGGTTAAAGACGAGTCAAAATAGTATTTTTCATTAATACTATTATTAAGACTATTTTCTATTTAATAGAAAAATGTAATAGTAATAACCCTTAGGAATAATTTTTCCTTACAATAAACTTTACATTTACAATAGTTTATAAAAATAAATTTAATTTAAACGTATACATTTTTAAGAAAAAAATCATTATTTTGTGAAAAAATACGAGGGTAGTATAATTAATAAATCACACTGTATACTATCGTAACAAACAGAGAACATTTCAATCCATTTAATCATTTTTGATTAATTTTATAAATAAAAATAAATTTTACAATTTACATTATTATTTTATTAAAAATTCTGAATCCAAAAACTTAAATAAACCTGAAACTAAATTCATATATTTTAACATAAATGGAGTCATTATATCAGTTGTCAAAAAATCCAAAATGTACTTACAAACTATTTCTAATAGGTAATTGTAAATTATACTACGTACTTTAAACCATTATAAATTACAAATTACATTTAAAAACAATTTAATGTATTTTATACCTTAGGAGATTCTTCAGAAATGTATTAACAACACCAGCTGTATTAATAATATAATTATAAATTTTAACTCGTTATTTTCCAAGGGATTATACAATTGTCAATATACAATGTAATAAATATATCAATTATAAAAAGGAATAGAATAATAATCTGAATACATTTACCTGTCACGTAGTGTACGTCTGGACGATATATCTTTGGTGCTTAAACCGGTGACCACCCGATATGATGGAAGTAAAAACAATGGGTAACCAAGAGGAATACTAAACAACTTTAAACGTGAATATAACTACATCATCATAAGTATAAAATAATAATACAGTGCCTACATCATTATTTTAATCGTGTTAATAAATAGACAAAAGATACAAAGTTGCTATTGAAAATACTAATGCATATTTCATTATTTATACTTAGTCAAATTTCAACAATAGTAATTATTGGTAAGTAATTACAATTGCATACACTTATTTTCCAATTGTGCAAGTTACTTATTAAAATAAATCTAAATAACAATTTACAAAAAAAACTAGAGCACCCATTAATAACTAATTAATGACAAAAATGACAAAAATAACAAAAATAAAATAGTTTACAACTATTTAGTTCCCTAATAGTATTTCTTTTAAATAATGTTAATATAGGATATAATGTTATATTAATATTATAAAAATGTATTTATAAAATATTTTTTTAAAACTACTATCTGGGTTATAATAAAATAATAATTTATTGGAAAAATATATTTAATATATAAATAGATGTTAAAAAACTGATTTATTGATTGAAGTAAATAAAACTTTAACTTATCAATCCAAATATCAACCATACAGAATTATAGAACACTACTAAGTTTAAAACGTAATATATTTAAACTATTAAAATAGCTAATATTATTATATTCGTTAAACGCCAGTTAAAATTTTGTTCTTATTAATTAAGTCAAACATGAAACGAGACACAATGAATAGTAATTATTTATACATATTAAAACCCATCTCTATTATACTTAACATTATTGTCAGATCATTATTCATTAACATATAACTAAGAAGAGCATCATAAGCAAGTGGAAGTGCCTCAGTAGTTATTCATAAAGCAATCAGTAAAATAGCGCTACAATAACTACTGAAAAAATAGATGGAAAATAAAAACAATCATTGAAACAATGTGTTGCACATTGTTTCGATGATTGTTTTTATTTGGAATACTATAGGGCTTAAACACAATAGTGTTAAGAAAAATCTCAAATGTAGAGTGCTTAATTAATGACATTTTGACAATGTCTTATTGTTTTAGTGATAATAATTGTTAACGTTGAAACATGAGAACTTTTTTTACACTATCTAGAATGATAATTCAATGTAATGATGATTAATGCAATAGTGTAATATTATTATATAATATTATGAATTTTTTTGTATTTCCAATTATTAAAACTTGGCTGACATACTATACTTGTACATATTAGTTAACCAATTTACGAATATACGTATATAGTATAAACATTGTAGACAAATGTCATGATTGTACAATTAAAGATATATTCATTCATTCGGGTATTATTATTTTTATAAGTAAAAATTCATTGAGGAATCTCTAAAATAACAAGGGGTAATTAAATATATTTTTTTTTTAGAAATGTTTTATTAATACTAAAGCACGTATAAGTTGAACATTAATAGATAAAAGCAAATGTACATATATATTCATTTTTGGATACACATGTGTGTGTCTCGATTTTTAGATCGATAAATTAATTTCTTTAACAAATAGTATTATGTAGAATAAAAAAATGCAAATACAAAAATAATAATAAACCATTCACACGACAGTAATAATAAATCATTAATGAAAACTCCCGAGAGAGTTGTTTACACTACGAATACAAAAAGAAAAAAGAAAATAACCAAACGGTTGTTGGGGGGAAATGACTTATACCCTTTCTTTAACATCGTATTCTCACCTACTCCCGATTCTTACTTTAAGTGTATATATACTTATTAATTTGAATTTTGTGTTTATTCAGGGCTCGATAAGATTAAATTATTGTTGCCAGTTGTTTGTTCAAGTCTACAATCACACAGACATTTTACGAGTCTATAGCTTAGATTTATTTGGTAAGTACATAAAATGACTTGCAACGGAAGTCCTTCAAATGTACAATTGCATTGAATAAAAACTATTAAAATTATTATGAATAAAAATATAGACGATTATTTTGATTATACGAGCTTTGAATTAAGAACATATTGTACCTTATTTTTCATATTGGCCTTACCAACAATACACTTAAACGGACAAAGTACTATAACAATTAATAATACCAATTTTAGATACATTATTTATCTGGAGCTTAATATTTATACGAAATAAACAAAACACATATGAACGTAAAAAAATAAGTACCTAAAGTCCATACAGATTTAAAAAAATAATAACATTATATATATAGGTACTTATAACAGGTGGCTGTCGATTGACGAAATTTGTGAGTATAAATTAAAAACTAAAAACATGATATATTAAGTCCTTTACTAAGAATATTTTACATTGAATTTTGGCAATATAACAACTATCAACATATAACAAATAACTAAGGTATCATTTTTATTCATATCACGAACCAATTTGTTTTTATTTTATTATAACCAAAATTACTATTTAACATTAAGAGAATAATTAAAAATTTTCATTAAATATATTTATAAAATATTAATGCTAAGTTTAATACATAAAATAATATTTAAACGTCAAATATTTTAGTTGCATTAAATATAATCCTTTTTTGAATTTATTCTGTAGCAATTATTAGAAACAAATTTTCTGACACAACCATAAATCATTACAATAGTAGTATATAATTGTAATGATAAAAGAGAAATTAAAAAAAAAACAGACTTACTATTCAAAAGAAAATCAGTAATTAAAAATTTACAATAGATACATTAAACAGTTTATCTCAAATGAGGAGAATTGAGATTTGAAAATATTTTGTTTAATTAAAAAATGATTTGGTAACACTGAACGGCGGGAATTATTCAAACTGAGACAGCACATAGTGTAAGTGGGAGATAATATTTGAATGGCACATCGGTAATAAATACTATGTTCATAAAACAACAATATGGAAATTTATACATTATTTTAGATAATATAATTTTTTACGATAATTTTTAAGTTATTTAACTTGAACTTCACTGAATTAATTTTGTAAAATGTTTTAATGCATCAGCGATAAACTAACATAATCAATACTGTTAATAATAATAAAATTTAAATTCTGATAAATGAACAAGAAATTCTAAGTAAAACTCTATTCAAATTGGATAATATAGAATTAAAGTATAACAACTATTTATATAAAGTCGCGATTCAAAAAAATATATCAACCTGAGTACAAATGATAGTATTACAGATTTATGTTTACTTACGTTTCAATGAAGCCAAAAGTAAAATTATATTGTTGAATATAACAAGTACTTAATAAAATGCATTATGATATTGAATGTGCATTCGTAGCAATAGTATTATTTAAAGAAAAATTAATAATTTCATTTATTAAATCTTGATTATATACATTTGGTTATTGATAATAAATGCTGGTGCGTTATCATCATTGAGTCGGTACCAACGAGCAACAGCTGTCTGAGGCGTAGTTGTTTTACAATAAGTGCTCTCCAAGTACGGTAATACCGTGTCATATTAATTTTATCGTACACCATAATTACCGTAAATTGATCTTCTATTTTTCGAATAGATTTATCCTATATTTCAAAACTCTTTATTAGTCCTATGATAATATCTGGAAACATAAATTAACGCCATTTAAAATGCATGAAAATAATTACCTAATATTTAAATTTAGAAATATAAACAAATTTGACACGCATAATCATTGTTATTATTATAATAATTTCTTTTATTTTCTCTGAAATTTTTGTTTAAAAATCAATGAATAAACTATTATACACAATGCATATCAAATATAAAAAAAATGCTGTAGGTACAGGAGTACAACGTATTTTTCTCAACAATATATATATACAAATAAAAATTCAATTTAATTGATATTGCTAAAAACACGAGAAAATCTTAAAAATAAACTACAAATATAATTATATGTTAAGAATGCATAGCATATATTCAGGGAATCTCGTCCTGTCCTGATAAAACCTATAATTTTTAGTTTATTGAATATTTTTGATACTTTCTTTTTTAAAATCTTATAAGAGCTTAAGAGTAAAATAATATCATAAAAATAATTTATTTTTTATTTTATCATAAAAATATAAAATTAATAAAAAATTACCATAAATTTTAAACGAAATCCAAGATAAATATTTTATAATTAAGATATAATTTATTAGCAAAATCTTTTCTTAATATTTTGCCATTAAATTCTACAGTATTTTAAAAATAATAAAAAATTGGACTTTTTGTATTTATATTATAGTATCAAACGTTAGTCTATGATCATCAATGTCGGAGTAATATTTTTTAAAATATCCGAAATATGATTTTAGTAATAAATAAATATTCTCTTGAATAATTTTTTAAAAATATTTTTATTAATATTAATCTGTTTATTATTATTATTATTTTTTAAATAATCAATAATGTATATGAATAATAATATGTTTTTTTTTTGTGTATGTCTGTAAACATAAATGAAGAGCATCTACTGGTTGGATTCATGAACGATTTTGCAATAGATTAAATGTTGTATCTAGTTGAACTAATCATTAACAAAAAAAAAAATATTTGAAAAACTTTCTCCATTCCACGAAATAAGAGCGTAATAGCCCTAAAAATAATAACTTATAATTTTATGACTAAATCATAATATAACACTTGTTCTTTTTTAAATTTTGAAAATGTTCTAGAAATTATTAAAAAAATTTTAATACTTTTAGTTCTTTGACACCTTGTTTCGTAACCCCACACTATCCTCACAATTTTTTACGCAAATTTATAATGAAATATTTTATGATCATAGCTGATGATCATCACTGTACTGATTTAGACTTTTTATAATACATCTCATGTAAAACCAAAAATTGAATTTTTTTTTTAATTTTGAGGATAATTTGAATGTAATAATCATCAATATTAATCCACTTGAAGATATTAGGAAAGTTACAAAAAAATTTATTTTCTAAAATTTAAAAAATGCTATTCCTTTAAATAGTTAAGTAATAACTTTTTAAGTATAATTTCTCTAACAACTTTTTATTTACGGAACGATTTTAATATGTTATAATTTATAAAATAGTTAAAAGTTACTGAATAATATTGTATACTAAATTGTTGTTTTAATAGTTATTTAAATTTTTCTATTCTATAGAATCGAAAATGTTCAAAAATATGAATAGAGCTTTTTTTGAAATTCATGATTAAGTTAATTTTAAAAAATAAATGAATATATCATTTTTCATATTTAAACAAACTAGGCTTAGACAATGATCCTTGCTTATTATTAACTTTTTTATTAACATGTTAATAGTATTAAAATGAAATTTGGTTACATAAACACTTTGTTTATTTTATCTTTTGTTTTAAACCCTCTATACTTCGTTAGTAAAAATACCATAACCTTTTCGAGTATAGCAGTTAAGTTTCACGATTTTAATAGTAATAAAATCTTATTTAGATTTAACTACCAATGTATTATAATCCACCAATCGGTCATTGTTACATAGAAAATCTATATAAATCTATTATAGGTGTTGAAAAAATGTTAAATTATTTTAATCTAACATAATATGGAATGTTAAATCTTAATTATATTTTTAATTTTTTCCTAGAGTGATATCTTTGTTCAATATTTTTTAAAATACAAAAAATTTAGTGATAATTTAATGTGTTTTTAAATGATTTTTAAGCAAATTACTTCTATAGAGTTTGTAAAAATGTCATTAAAATTTAATGAATACTAAAATAAAAAATTTAAATAGTTACATTTTTAAATAAATCTTTTAAATAAATGTTTATTGGAGAGCTTAATTAATTAATCAAAGCATAATTCATAAAAAAAAAACAATTAATTTAACGTTCAAAAACCAGATAATCAAAAATAGGAGAGTGTGGGGTGAAACCCCACGTTAACTTATTTAGAATATTAATCAAGTAGTTGAAAAAAAATTCTTACATTATACCCTGGAACTATCATTCCAATCAAAATGTTAAATTTAAATTATACTTTATCTAACAACAACATAAAGTAAACCAAAAGTCATTCGACTAATAGTCTATTCTGGTTATATTAATAAAGTATAGTTATATTACGAATTGGCTCCTGACAATTTATTATATAGAAAGTATGGATATATTATTATAACATATTGTACTATTATAGGTGAATGTTGAGTTCATAGCGAGATTAAAATATTTTCTGTGAAACCATATTCTTCTCTTTGAAAAATTAGCATAAATTATTATGAACATCATTTAATCATATTTTAAATGCCATCTACTAATTTTCAGTTTGATCCACGTGAACTCCACGTGAGTTGATTAAATAGTTAAAAGACTTGTATTTTAAGAAGCTACTTTAAAAATAATATGAAAGCCATTTGCACACACACGATAATTCTGGGATTTTAGTCGCAGATATAATAAATACCAATAACCATATATTATAATAACAATAATAAGATACTTTATTACTCCTATTAAATAAATAAATGCGTGTTTGTAAATACGAGTACATAGAAGCAGTTTTAAAATAATTCTCTACGCGTGTGATGTTAATGTAGTTTAAACACATAATAGTCAAACATCTATAACCTCTATAACTTTTTTTAACGCAGGGATACGCTTTTTTTAAACGAAGAAAAATTAAAAATAATTTCTAAATGTTGATTTTAATTTCATTTGATTCATAAAGAACCATTAGCCTGACTCATCATTGATTTAACCGAAAAAAAGAAAAATACTCGATAAATTATTAAAATAAATAAAAATGAATTTTTTAATTTCTACTTTTAATGTATTCCCGATAGTATAGACATTGTGCACTCAGTATTATTCTACTTTACCACTATTAGCTTAACCAAATTTATTGTGGTTCTAATATTGTTTATTCTCCATTATTAAGCATTTTAAATGTACATAGTAAATTCCTGTGCAGGCCAAAAATATCAACCCAATGTGATCTAATCAACATTCAAAATAAGTCCTACGCAATTCAGCCGATATAAAAATTTGAAAATCAACCCGATCCGATCCTATTTTGAAAAACATCGTTAATTAATTTCAACTATAAAATTACATTTCTAAACAAGTATAATTAATTTTGTGATAACGTTTTTACCCCCGTCATTCTCTATTTGAGGTTTGCTAAAACTGTATTAAACAATGTCATGGCTAAACTTATTTCATTTAACTAGAAGTTCAATTTAAATGAATTGTTAACTTACATTGTGTTAAGAGTCTATAGTAGTTGGTGAAACTGGCTGATTATATTATACTTAACAGATAACTGTAACTGATAATAGTAACAGTACTACAATAGCCCTGACTTGTTTCTAACCGTTTTTTCGGGGTATACCAGTTATTTTGTTAGCCCGATACACCCGAAAAATGTTACGATTGGTCTGAACTTGATCCGACCGGATTTCATTATTTTCTAAAAAGCTATGGCCGATTAACTAGAAAAATTCAGGTTCAATCCGATCCTATCCGATTTTAGGTCGGGAAAAATTCGGATCGGATTGGGATTGATACAAGTCATGTAGGGCTTTGGTAAATAAGTATATTGTGTTTGGTTTTTTCCTTTAACCTTTTAGGGTAACACTGAAAATAAATTCGGCTGCATACTACGCAACCCTTTGTTAACTAATTTATTATAATGAGTGGTAGCGATTTGGTAACTAAAACATGAATTACCATCGCATGACTACTATGGGATGACACGCATTGAATATCACGAGCTCCATAAGTATTTTATTATAGTCGTGCTTGGGAGTTATCATTCTTGACATGACTTTTCTGTAGAATTGTTTATTGTAATTTTAAAATCTTATGAAATATTCGCTAAGTACACAAATATATCTGCAATAATTTATTTTTCATATCTAAAATAAATCTCAATAATTTTTTTTTTTTTGACTTGAAGTTTTCTTTTGTAAATAGCTTAAGATAAAATATGATAGTGTACAAGATTTTTCACTTTTAATTGTTTTTGAGTTTGCAGTTATCGGTCGTGGAAAGGGTTTTTACACCTATTTCTATCAAACAGGGTACTTGTCAGTGATGTACAAAGTTGGCCTCAACGCGAAAAACAAATGCAAGTGCATTTGCAAAGGTGCAAATCGCGTTTTCAATTCGGTGAAAAATTAATATTTTAGAAAGTCAGAAAAGGCTTTTAGATTTGAGGGCCCTAATGCAGCCGCATTAATGCATTCCTCTATTTATGCCATTGATTCTTGTAAACAAAGGGCATTATTAAGAACAATTCTTAAAATTACAACGTTTGAATTAAGTAAGATAGATAAATTTACCGTACGTCTATACATGTATGTGAAATACTAAGAGTTTAGTCAGTTTTCTAATGTTCTTAACTTATTAGAATAACAAATAACAATATGCAGAATAACGCCCAGAGCA